AGGGGAAACCTTGACTTGTAATATTTGCCAGCTACCATTGTGTAAATATTCCCACCATGGCCATCAAGTTACCAACAGGAGGTCACTGAATGCAGAATTGAGAAGAAGTGCATACAATAGACTCTTGAGAGCCTGTAAGGGCCAATTCCAGCACACCACTAAGGGACAAGTCCTGTTTTCCTCCTATGGCCCCAATCTACCCATTTTTGTGGGTTTTCTCCAGCCTTGCTCCAGGAAAGAGAGGAAGGGATTCAGCTGTAGTTTTGGGATGGGAAAACAGGGGTACTGTTAAATGCTGTCAGGGAGACCCACAGTGGGGAAAAGATGCAAAGACCCAGTATAAAATGGAAGGAGTGAGTTCCCATCCTTCTTGGAGATCCTCTATTCTGAGAACTTATTTGTCCATTTTCAACAATTTCCACCAATAATGTGCTGTTGCTTGTTTTAAGTTCTCTCTGTAAATTCCAGAATGAACCATTCCTCTTCCGTGACTGTAAGAGACCTGGCTGCCCCTCGCCCATGACGGCAACTCCTGGACATGGGCATGGCTCCCTTTCCTGGGTGCGGCCTATGGTCACATTCTCAGGAGTGGGTGACCTGACAGGAAATTCCCCTGGCTTCTGGGTAGTCTCCCCGAAACAAGAACCACCAGGACCACAAAGGCCCCGTGTTTGGCCACCAGAGAGATGGGTGGAGGAACAGCTACATGTCTACAAGGAACAAAAACCCTTTCCATGGGTGCAGTAACCCCAGGGACCTAGGGACACTGCCCAGGTACATGGGAAGAAATTAGATGAAGAATGGGATTCTAAAACATGAATCTGATCATGTCAGTCCCTTGCTACAAAGGATTCTCATTACCCTTAAAAGAAAAGAAAAAATCTTTGTTATCTTTAACAAGACCCTTCAGGATCTGGCGCCTGTCTGTCTCTGCATTCCCATCCCTCAGCACTTCTCAGTGGCTTCTGTTATGTTTGGAAATATGCCATGCCTGTTTCTTCCGAAGGTCCTTCGCACTTGTGCGTGTATATACGCATACACACGCATGTATGTGTCTATATACATATACATATTTTTTTCTTGCTGAACCATTTGAAAGTAAATTGCAGCATTGTAGCATTATTTGATATTTCAGCATTTATTTCCTAAAAACAAGGACATTATCCACCATAATCATAATACCATTACCACACCCAAGGAATTTAACGTGGCTACAACATCTAAACTGTGCATATATGTCTAAAAAAAGAAGTCCTTTATGGCTGGAGCTTTTCCCTGACTCTAGGATCCAATTAGAGTTCGTGCATTGCATCTGATTGTCAGGTCTCTGTGGTTTCCTGTAATCTAGAACAGCCTCACCGCGGCCACCATCACTCACACACACACCTCTTTTGATCTTTCATAACACTGACATTTCAGAGAGTCCAGACCAGTTGCTCGTAGATTGTCCCCAGTTCTGGATTCGTCTGATTGTTTCCTTGTGATTAGACTCGAGTTATGGTTCTCTTCTTTAAAAAAACTGTTAGTTCAGCCTGACAGCCCCTCACGGACAGGGTTCTGAGTGGTGACTGAGCTGGAAACTCAGCAAGTGTGCACCAACTGTGGCCCCGTCTGGCCTCTAGGTGTCCCCTGGGCTCCACAACCCTGACTCTGCTCAGGTCCTGAGCCCTCCTCAGCTGGAACCATAGTGAAGAATTTTCTGGGCCAGCAAGTGCTCTGGAGATCCTGGGACAAGTGTTTGTTGCCTTCTGACAGCAATACTTGAACCCTGGGGCAAACATGTCTTGATGGAGGAAATAGAAATTAGGAAGTAACTCTATGCAGAAGCCCTCATCCCAAGGACCACTGACCCAGAACAAGAAGATGTCCCACTAGGCAGAGAGACTGTTTCCTGCCAGTGCTGCCACTGGGTGTATATCCTTGAGGACTCCACTATGGGACCACAGAACCAGACACATCACACACCTGCAATACCAACCACACCCAGCTGGGATGGGGAGGAACAATGCCTTTACTGTGTGAACCCTGAGAACAGGGGCTGGGACCAAGTCTACTGAGATGCTCTAGGACTCCTCTAAGTGGCATCTTCAAAGCCATTTAGGAATTTGGCCTGGCCTAGTTCAAAACTAAAGAAGTCAAATGAAGACTTCTACTTCTGGCCAAGATGGAGTAACAGAGACCATGTTTACTCTCCCACCTGGGCGAGAAAAGGGCAACATTCAGAAAACAATGGTCTTTAAGACACTGGACCTTAGTCAATGAAGGATGCCATCTCTGAGATGAAGGGAACAGGTGAGATGAGCCCTACGATTGCCCCAGATTATATCCTGAGAGTTTCCACAGCATAGGGAAGAAGAACAGGCAGGGCCAGGCAGACTCCCTGAGTTGAGGAGACAGAACTGATAGTCCAGGGAGACTGAGGCAGCTAGAGAACATAGGACAGAGCGCTCAAGAGGGGAGAGCTGCACAGATACAGAACTCCAGAGATCTGCAGAGGGCCCCCTGGAGTATCCAGCAGAGTACTGATCATGCACGAGTGTGAGGGAAGCATGTGAGGCTGCGGAGAGGACCATTCAAAAAGCTTAGGAGGACCAAAGGCTGGCACTCACAAAAAGCCTAGAATGGTGTCTGTTCCAGCTGGGCAGACTGGAAACATTCATAATTTACCAGGCACCGAGTAGAGTTCTCAGAAGGTATTACCTCAGCTATAGAGGACACCCAGCCTAGACTGGGCACTTCTCTCACAAACCAGAACAGCTGGACCTGAAAGGAGCTCACTGTGACCCAGTGACGTCACTGCACCTCAGGATAAAGTAAAGAAGACTCACAAATATACAAAAATAGCCAGTGTCCAAAAAGGAAAAGTTTATAATGTCTGGCATCTAATCAAAGATTACCAGGCAGGCAGAGAGGCAGGAATACAAGATCCATAATGAGGAGAATAATCAACCCACTGAAATCAACCCAGAATTGATATAGACATTAGAACTAGCAGAGAAGGACATTAAAACAGACATTATAACTATATTTCATATGGTCAAAAAGTCAAGGAGAGGCATGGAAGATTAAAACAAACCAAAAAAGTCCAAAATCAAACTTCTAGAAATGAAAACTATAAAGTCTAAGCTTTCTTAAAAACACACACAAAAAAACCACCAGATGAAATTAACAGATTAGACATCGCAGGAGAAAAGATTAGTAAACTTGAAGGCATAGCAATAGAAGCTATCCCAAATGAAATGAAATACGAAGAGAAAAAAGAATTTGAAAAAATGAAAAGCGCATAAGTGAGCTGCTGGACAACTTTAAGCAGCCAAATGGATTTCCCACGGAGAGAGGGGGCAGAAAAAATTTTGAAGAAAAATAGCCGAGAACTTTTCAAACTTACACAGAACTATAATCTACAGATCCAAGAAGTTCAACAAAGCCCAAGCACAAGAAACATGAAGAATACTTCACCAAGGCACATCATACTCAAATTGCTCAAATTAACATGGTCAATATTATGAAGAGTTTTAAATACATCTTAGCTGAGCTAGACAGTGAAGACCCTTCCAAATGGTCAGGACAGCCAAGGAAGCCTTGAGGGGAAGTTAAAGAGATGATACCAGCATCTATGGAGACATCAGCCAGGCCACTACCAAGCAGCAGCGGCAGTCAGTAGTCAGTGCAGCCAGCCCAGGCCCTGGTAGGGCCAGGGCCCTCACCACTACTGCCACAGCACACCAGACAGTCTAACATGAGCTCACCCACACTCCCAGCCTGTGCCCCAGTTGTACTTTTTTATGAAAAGTCATTCTTTCAGTTCTGTCTACTATTTAGGGATATCCTGTTTTGTACCCAGAGTATATTACTCATTATTACATGCCTCATCTCATCCAAAACAACCTCTCTGAGCTGGACCCATGTAGCCCCCTTGAACAGGAGAAGAAACTGGGGGAAAGAGAGCCATAGTGGTTTGCCCAGGATAACAGATGATATGCAACAGAGCAAGTGTTCAAACCCAGCCTGAATCTGAAATCAATGATTTTCTGGCAAAGGCAGTTGGTGAAGCATAACAAGCCCTTGGCTACAAGCTCCATGAGGTCATGAATCTTCATCTGTTCCACTCTCTGTTGCATCCCAAGTGCTCAGAACAATGTAAGGCACTCAAGTAAATATCTGTTGAATGGATCAGCGGCTCTGAAGTCAAACAACTTTAGTTCAAATCTTGGCTCCACTATCTCCTAGCTTTATGACCTCAGAGCAAGTCTTCTCAGCTGAACAGGGTTGGTAACCAACAGTCCCTACCTCCCAGAGTTGTAGGGATTGACTGTAGAGATCCATAAAAATGACTAGCAGTGTCTATTACAACATTCAATACATGTTTAAAAAACTAAAATAAGTAAATAAAGGAACCTGGGAAGACTCCCTGGCCACCTATGTTGGCTCTATTCTTGTGGGAGAATTTTTCTTTCATAATTTTTTACTTTCTTAAAATGGAGGGTGCATGGGCCCTCTCTTTTCCATGAGGACGCCAAGAGGGAGGCTGACAGTGGGGAAAAGAGGGCTAGGGAAGAGGTGCAGACACCATTGGAAGCTCTGCCCGTCTCTTATTTACCTGCCCCCCAGAATAAGCAGTTTGGGAGAATGGCTGAAGTCAAAGGGCAGTGAATGAGGGCAGGGAGGCAAACAATGCGTGCAGAAGGACATCGATGTCCTCCAGGCACTGCTGCAGCCACCCACGCCATGGTCACACCAGACCACCTGCCTCACTGAACACAGGATTTCCTGGCTTTGGAGGTCTGGTGATGGATACCGAAGGGCAGGCATCTGATCTGGGGTACCAAGCACCTCAAAGGCTCCCCCTGCTCCACATTACCCCTCAGTACCAGCAGCTCGGTGAAGGTGGGGATCTGGATTGGAACCCCAGGGAGGAAGAGCCCAAAAGGGGGCTCCCATCCTTGAGCAAGTGGAGTGTGTTAAGCTGAGTCTTCCAAGAAGCAGATGCTGAGACAATGAAACATGCAATAGGTTTATTAGCAGAAATGCCTGTGGGGGGAAATCTGGAAGGGGCTGGAAGAAGATGGGAGCCATCAGACCACCAATGCAAGTATGACCCCAAGGAAGAAGAGAGGAGAGGAGGTTGGGTGGAAGTGTTCCAGGCTGCTGGTCATCTAAGGAGTGTTTGGTAAGGCCAATGGGAAGTCCTGGAGCCAAAGTGACCCGTCAAAGGATTCTCACATTTCCCCAGCATTCCCTTAGTATCCCGCCATAGTGTCCCCACTGCCCTCTGCCTCTGGCTGGGAGCAGCTGTGGGAACCGTGGCCTCAGCACCAAGGAAGTGATGGGTTTCAGAGCGCAGCAGCTGAGAACCTCGGTCAATTACACCCCCGGAGTTGGAGATCCGACAGCTGCATTTTTGTGGTCGCCACAGGGCAGGTCTAGCAAAGAGTGGAGGTTAAGGGCAGGAAGTGGGAAAGGGGTTCTTGCAGAAATTCCGCAGGGTGTGAAATTTCTCTGAAGGTCGCTGCGAACTTCTCACCAAGCTGGTAGCTCAAATCTTTCTGCCACATCAGGATACCTCCTCTTGGCTCTTGGAGCCTTCACTTGTTTCGGATTCCTGCTGCACACAGCAAAATGAGAAAGAGAAAGAAGAAAATGACCATTCCAGAAAGGACTCATGAGTCATCTCATCTGGCCCCCTGCCTGTGGGGGTCCCTGCAGGCCGAGGCCAGAAAACTGTTGTTATGGTTATGGAGGGGGCAACCCAGGTGTAGGGACTTTGTTTTTATTGAGGTAACATTGGTTTATAACATTACGTAAATTTCAGGTGTACATCATTATATTTCGACTTCTGTGTAGACTACATCGTGTTCACCACCCAAAGTCTAATTGCCATCTGTCACCATATACATATGCCTTTTTACTCTTTTTGTCCTCCCCACTCCCCTCTTCCTCTCTGGTAACCACCAATCTAATTTCTATCTATGTGTTTGTTTGTTGTTGTTGTTGTTGTTTTTATCTTCCACATGAGTGAAATCATATGGTGTTTGTCTTTCTCTGTCTGACTTATTTTGCTTAGCTTAATACCCTCAAAGTCCATTCATGTTGTCACAAATGACAAGATTTCATCTTTTTTATGGCTGAGTAGTATTCCATTTGGTATATATATACATATATACACACACCACGTCTTTATCCATTCATTTGTTGATGGGCACTTAAGTTGTTTCCATCTCTTGGCTACTGTGAATAATGCTGCAGTGAAAATAGGCATGCATATATCTTTTCAAATTAGTGTTTTCATGTTCTTTGGATAAATACTTAGCAGTAGAATAGCTGGATCATATGGTAGTTCTATTCTTAATTTTTTGAGGAATCTCCATACTGTTTGGACCAGTTTGCATTCCCGCCAGCAGTGTATGAGGGTTCCCTTTTCTCCACATCCTCTCCAACACTTATTATTTCTCATCTTTTTAATAATAGTCATTATTAAATGGGCATCAGTGATATCTCATTGTACTTTTGATTTGCATTTCCCTAATAATTAGTGATACTGAACATCTTTTTGTATGCCTGTTGGCCATCTGTATATCTTCTTTGGAAAAATGTCTGTTCAGATCCTTTTTCCCTTTTTTAATCAGGGGAATTTGTTCATTTTTTGTTGTTGAGTTGTATGAGTTCTTTATATATTTTGGAGATTAACCCCTTATAGGATATGATTTTCAAGCATATTCTCCCAATTGTTAGGCTGTCTTTTCTTTTTGTTGATGCTTTCCTTTGCCGCGCAAAAGTTTTTCAGCTGGATGTAGTCCCATTTGTTTATTTTTTCGTTTGTTACCCTTGCCTGAGTAGACATGGTATTCAAAAAGATGCTAAGACCAATGTCAAAGAGTGTACTGCTCATATTTTCTTTGAGGAGTTTTATGGTTTCAGGTCTTACGTTCAAGTCTTTAAGGCATTTTGAGTTGATTTTTGTGTGTGGTGAAAGATAATGGTCTACTTTCATTCTTTTGCATGCGGCTGTCCAGTTTTCCCAACAACTCTTATTGAAGAGTCTCTCCTTTCTCTCTATGGTCTTGGCTCCTTTGTTGAAAATTAGCTGTCCACAGATGTGTGGTTTTATTTCTGGGCTCTCAATTCTGTTCCATTGATCCGAGTGTCTGTTTTTGTGCTGGTACCACAGGTGTCAGGATTATATGTCCCCCCAGGAGACCACAAGCACTTGACAACAGAGCTCATGTCTCCAGATCAGACTCTTCCCACCTACTCCCCAACTAGGGCTCTGCAACTCTGGACAGGGAGAGGACTGACTTCTCAAGATAACCCATAAAAGACCCTTTCCTCCAAATTTACCCTCAGCTGCCGCTAGATCCATCGGGAGGTCAGCAACATCTCCCTTCTCACCATCATCCCTCTCTCGGCACTCTTTCACACTCCTGCCTTCCTCTTCTTCCACGTCCCCAGCTGAACCCAGCACTAGACTGACCGCTGCTAAGATGCTTAAGCACAAGGCCCAAATCCTCCCCAGTGGACTTCCTAGAGCTGCAGGGGGAGACAACTGCCAGAGCGGAGAGGAGCCCAGAAAGGAAAGCTGTGACCATTAGGCATCCTGGGGGAGGACCATGCCTTGGGAGCACTTTGAGGAAGGAGGAGGGAGAAGACGCACCTGACAAGACTCTCCCTCCTGAGTGTAGTCCCTTCCTGGTCCCCTGGGCCCTGGCCTGGCCTGCTCTGAGGATCCTCCCATACTAGTTCCCATCCCAAGATTCCCGGAGAAACCAGCAGGACTATTTGCCTGGCGCTCTGTCCTCTCTAAAAGGGTTGGGTGGGGTGCCCACCGGACTAGGAGGTAAGGCACTCACCAGGGTACACAGCAGCCATTGCCAGCTGGATCTGCTCCATCAGGCAGGCACAGCCCGTCCCTGTATCCCCAGTCAGCAGCACCAGGGCAATGCACAGGTAGAATGTGCCCTCTCCATTGGGCAGAATGTCAGCAGAGTCCCCCAGCCCCACTCACCCAGCAACTAGTCCTTCTTCCAGTGAAGCAAGACAGAGGAAGGGCAAAAGCCAGTGGCCAGCAGGACGGGTGACACTGTCTTCTGGAGCACTCTGGCAGGACACAGTCACCTCGGGAGGCACTGGGGGAAGAGAACAGGGAATAAGATATAGGGTGTCTGATCCCAACTCACCTGGGCCCTCCATGCCCCTCTCCTCCTCACTCACAAATTCCACCTCTGCGCCAGCCCCTAGAAGACCACAGAAGCCAGGCCAGGAGACCACCCCTGTAGGGGCTCTGGCTTCACAGTCATTGCCAGGTCTCCACGTCCATCACCCTTGGAGACCTAAATCGGCTTCTAAAACCTAAATCAGACCATGCCACTCCTCTGCTTGAACCACTTCCATAGCTTTCCATCCCCGAGGGGCAAAGTCTACAAAAAGTAGACTCAAGAACCCCACATGACCTGGCAGCTGAGAGCCACCTCTCAGCAGCCCCTGAACCTGGGGCTGGATTAGTGCAGTCGTGAGTGACAAACACTTTAATCTAAACCATCAATAAATGCCTATTTTATGTTCATCATGCTCCAAGTTAAAAGCCATGGAACATGCAATGCACTTTAGAAGGACATGGAGTGCATGTTGGTGGCAGATGTCAGAGAAGCAGGACAGTACAGCGGTTAGGACCTGGGCCTGGAGCCAGACAGCCAGAGTTACAGTCCTGGTTTCCCCATGCTGTGTGGCCTTGGGCAAGTTATCTAACCTCCCTGTGCCTCAGTTTCCTCATATATACAACAGGGGCTAAGACAGCATCTACCTCGCAGGAATGTTGTGCGTTAATGAGTTAATTCGAGTTTTGAAATGCTTAGGAAGATGTCTGGCACTTGGTGAGCAGTGGTGGGTATTATTAAATAACTGAGGCACACAGACTTCACCTCCCCAGCTCTATTTGTTTGCATCTGGCCACAAACTTGGCCCCGAGCTGTGACCCACTGCCTCTCCCCACACAAGGACATACCCCAATCCCACCACTCTTTTTGTCATATTCTAGAAAGGAAGCCTTTAGCACTGCTTCTGTAGGACACAGACACCCACAAGCTTGATCTTCCCCCCTCCCTAATTCACACCCAGGCTCAATATTGCACCATCCATCTCTTGGGTTACTTTCAAACACCTGGTCACTAAACAAAGATCATGTCACCGTAGAGTTCACTTCTCACTAATCAAGAGGAAGAACCTGGAATCCCATTCCTGAGCGCCCTGCCACTGTTATTACAATTACACCCATGCTTCTCCTTCAGTGACCTGTAGATGGCACCATTACCCTCGGCTGGGCACAGAAGGACTGGCCACTGCTCAGAGTAATCTTTTTACTATGTGTGTGAATCTGGTCCCCTCTGAAATTTGTGGGACTGCACGATAGATATAATGGAATCCTGGCCTTCCAGGCATTCCAGACCCCTCAATAAATGTAGCTGGTAATACTAGTAATACCATCCCTATGGCTCTCTCCCTAGGCCAGGACTCATGAGACTTCAGTAAATGTACAAAGTTGCCACATTCTTTAAACAGAGAGAGGCAGGTGATGGCTTCATGGCAGGCAGACAACTGTGGGCCTCGTCCCCAGAGAGCAGACACACACGATCAGTCTTGGTCTTCAGGACCCAGCCAGCATGGAAGTGGCCTCTCTCCCACCAGATTGTGACTGCTAAATACAGCAAGCCCTGGCAAGTTCAGTCCTGAGAGTTCAGACCCTCTAGAAAGGCAGAGTTCCCTGTTATAAGTAGACTCTCACAAACCGGAATCAGGCAGTGGGGGGCTCCACATATCCCCCCACCAAAGATGTTCTTGCCAAGGACACGGTGAAACGACCCTTTTGTTTCATTATGGTCCGAATGTGTGTGCCCCCCAGAATTCATACATTGAAACTCTAACCCCCAATGTGATGGTATTAGGAGGGGGGCCTATAGGAGGTGATTAGGTCACATGGGTGGAGTCCTCATGAATGGGATTACTGCCCTCATAAGAAGAAACATAAGAGAAATGGTTTCCCTCTCCGCCCTGTGAAGATACAACAAAAAGACGGCCGTCGGTAAACCAGGTTTGCCAGAACCTGACCACGCTGGCACCCGTATCTTGGCCTTCCAGCCTCCAGACTGTGAGAGTTACATGTTTGTCGTTTCAGCCTCCCAGTCTGTGGTATTCTGTTACAGCAGCAACTAAGACAGTTTCCAGATTCGACAGGCACTTTCCTCTCTTTGTCTTTTTTTACCTCTTTGCAGCATTCCTTCCCATCCCGCCCCCTGAAGCTCCCCAGGCCCTTGGACTCTGAGGCCCCGCCTGCTCCTGGTTTCTGCCTTGCTCCCCCGCTGCTCCTCCTCAGAACCTCCATGAGTTCCTCTTCTTCCAAGTCTGCCCTGGCACTGCTCTTCCTGTGCGTCTATTCTTGATGCTCTTCCCTGCTCTCCACACAGATTCTCCCTGGGCGGTCTCCTTTCTCCCTCCTCCCTCCCTGACTCTATTTCAGTCTGAACCAGACTCGTGAACCCAGCTGCTGAGGGTCATTTGCTTATCACACAGACTCGTCAAAGGCAGGCTATCCAAACCTGAACCAAACCTCCACACCATCTGCCACAGTTCCCATTCCTCCGGCCACCAAGTCTGACCCTGGCCCTACGTCCCTGGTCACCTAACCCAGAAACTTGAGTATCATCCTTGACACCCATATTGGTTTTCTAGGGCTGCCAGAACAAAGTACCACAAACTGAGGAAGGTGGATTTAGACCCACCCTAAATCCAGAAGGATCTCATCTTGGGATGCCATTCTCTTGCCACCTCACTGACTCCTTCAAGTCTCAGGTTAGACTCCACTTCCTCTGCTCAGATATCGCTGACCCCCAAACCAGGGCAGATTCCCACTGGGGCTCTTCCAGCTCGACAGGCCACCCCCAGCACAGCTGAGCATACCGTCCTACCTGTGTCTTCCTCAAGAGCAGACACGGGGTCATGTTCTCTATGCGGCCTCCGCCCCTAGCTCAGTACCTACCATACAACAATTACAACCACAAAGAACACGTCGTGAGCGCTCCATGTGAGCCAGGGACCCTTCTCAGCAGTTCACCTGCATGAACCCATTTGCTCTTCGCAACAGCCCCGTGAGACGGTTAGCTAGGATTACTCCTACTTTTTAGATGTAGAAACTGAGGTACAGAGAGATTAGGCAACTTATTCAAAGTCACAAATCTATTAAGTGGCAAATCCAGTTTTCCAACACAGGCAGCCTAGCTCCAGAGTCCACTCTTAACCGTTACACTATACTCAAATATTTATTGAAATAATTAATTAGTGATTTAGTTAGTTAATTAGTTAGCCAATGTAAAATGGAGCTACCAAGGCCCAGAGAAGTTAGCCAGTTTTTCCCAAGGTCACCTAGTGACGTCAGAACTTTGACTTAAGTCCTCAAACTCCCAGACCTGGGGTTGCTATGAACTTACCAGGAAAGGGCCAGGGGGCCAGGGGGTTCACTGGGCACCTGCAGTTGCAGGATTCCCAGGTGGGTGCCCAAGAATAAAGGGGCACTCTTCCCTTGCTACCCTGACCAGAAGGGCTTATTATAGTCAGAGCGGAAGTCCTCCAGCACAAAAGAAAGACAGCGGACAGTGCGTGCCTCCTGATGCGACGCAAGAGGAGGCACCCAGCACCACTCCTGAGGGTCTACTGTCCAAAAAAAGGAAAAGTCAAGCCTGAATGTGATTAGACCCCAAAATCTAATTGCCAGGGGACAGAGCAACATGGTAAAAGATACCAAAGGGACCACCAAAATCCAGAGTGGAAAATTCTAAGCACATATGATGTAGTTTTCACACACACACACAGGAAGGTGAACAGTTACAGATTTTAAAAGCCCAACGATGTATCAAAATGCGTGGAGTTTGTTTGGATGCTGACTGAAACAAGCCACTCATAGAAAGACATACGAAATAGTATAGAACATGTGAACAACGACTAGATATTTGGTGATGTTAAGAATTAGCACTGAGGGGGCTGGCCCCGTGGCAGAGTGGTTAAGTTCGCGCGCTCCACTGCAGGCGGCCCAGTGCTTCATTGGTTCGAATCCTGGGCGCGGACATGCCACTGCTCATCAAACCACGCTGAAGCAGCGTCCCACATGCTACAACTAGAAGGACCCACAACGAAGAATATACAACTATGTACCGGGGGGCTTTGGGGAGAAAAAGGAAAAAAAAAAATCTTTAAAAAAAAAAAAAAGGAAAAAAGAATTAGTACTGACCACAACTAGAATACACAACTATGTACTTCGGGGCTTTGGGGAGAAAAAGAAAAAAAAAGATTGGAACAGACGTTAGCTCAGGTGCCAATCTTAAAAAAAAAGAAAGAAAAAGAATTAGTACTAATTTGTAGCTGTAATTATTGTGGTTTTTCTAAAGAGTTCTGCCTTGTTAGAGATACACACTGAAGTATTCACAGTAGAAAATCGCTGGGATTTACTTTAAAACAATTTGAGGGGGAACAATAGGGATGTAGATCAAATAAGATTGGTCAATTGTTGAAGCTGAGTAATAGGTATATGGGGATCTTTATACAATTCTCTCTACTTTTGTATTTGCTTGAGAATGAATAATAAAAGGATCTAAAAAAAAAAAAAAAAAAGGAGTCCCCAGCACAGTGCCCCAAGCAGCCGCGCTCAACCAATCAGAGTGGAGATTATGGATCAGCCTTCTCTGCTCAATTCTGGGCTGGAGTGTGGTAATCCTGGGCAGGGGGCTGTGAGCCAGGAAAGAACCCAGGGTTCTTAACGGTGAGCCATTCCGGCAGAGTCAGAAGCCTGATCCTTAGAATCTGGCTATTTTTATAGGATGCATTTTTCTTTCTTTTTCTTCTTTTTTTCTTTTGGTCTTTTTTGTTGTTATTGTTCTGCCTCAATATTTGGTAAAGTTATTTTATGAAAATCCCAGCTTCCTTCAGAAGTGATTAAAGAAGCAAGGGAAGCAGGGTTTGTTTACCAGATATTGAGACCTCCACTCCATGCCCAGTCCCCTTCTGCTGGCTCCCAAACTGCTGGCAGCCTGGCCTTTCCCTCCCAGCAGGAGACTGGGAGAAGCTTCTCTGGGGAATCTGGCCAGCCTAGGAGAAATATCTCAAAGATGATGAAATCATAGATCT